GAGGAAAGAGGTAGGAAGGAAGAAAGGAAAGGGGGAAGGAAGGAAGGAGAGAAGGAAAGAAAAAAGGGAAAGAAGGAAGGAAAGAGGGAGCGAAGGAAGGGGGAAGATGTAGAGAAAGAGGGAGGGAAGGAAGAAGGAAAGAGAGAAGGAAGAAAAGAAAGAGTGAGGGAGGGAAAGAAAGAAGGAAAGGGAGAAGGAAGTGTGGAAACAAAGAGAAAAGGGAGGAAAGAGGTAGGGAAGGAAGAAAGGAAAGGGGGAAGGAAGGAAGGAGAGAAGGAAAGAAAAAAGTGAAAGAAGGAAGGAAAGAGGGAGCGAAGGAAGGGGAAGATGTAGTGAAAGAGGGAGGGAAGGAAAGAAGGAAAGAGAGAAGGAAGAAAAGAAAGAGTGAGGGAGGGAAAGAAAGAAGGAAAGGGAGAAGGAAGCATGGAAGCAAAGAGAAAAGGGAGGAAAGAGGTGAGAAGGAAGAAAGGAAAGGGGGGAGGAAAGGAAGGAGAGAAGGAAAGAAAAAAGGGAAAGAAGGAAGGAAAGAGGGAGCGAAGGAAGGGGAAGATGTAGTGAAAGAGGGAGGGAAGGAAGAAGGAAAGAGAGAAGGATGAAAAGAAAAGAAAGAGGGAAGGAAAGGGAGAAGGAAGCATGGAAGCAAAGAGAAAAGGGAGGAAAGAGAGAAGGAAGAAAGGAAAGGGGGAAGGAAGGAAGGAGAGAAGGAAAGAAAAAAGGGAAAAAAGGAAGGAAAGAGGGAACGAAGGAAGGGGGAAGATGTAGAGAAAGAGGGAGGGAAGGGAAGAAGGAAAGAGAGAAGGATGAAAAGAAAAGAAAGAGGGAAGGAAAGGGAGAAGGAAGCATGGAAGCAAAGAGAAAAGGGAGGAAAGAGGTAGAGAAGGAAGAAAGGAAAGGGGGAAGGAAGGAAGGAGAGAAGGAAAGAAAAAAGGGAAAGAAGGAAAGAAAGAGGGAGCGAAGGAAGGAGGAAGATGTAGAGAAAGAGGGAGGGAAGGGAAGAAGGAAAGAGAGAAGGATGAAAAGAAAAGAAAGAGGGAAGGAAAGGGAGAAGGAAGCATGGAAGCAAAGAGAAAAGGGAGGAAAGAGAGAAGGAAGAAAGGAAAGGGGGAAGGAAGGAAGGAGAGAAGGAAAGAAAAAAGGGAAAAAAGGAAGGAAAGAGGGAACGAAGGAAGGGGGAAGATGTAGAGAAAGAGGGAGGGAAGGGAAGAAGGAAAGAGAAAATGAAGAAAAGAAAAGAAAGAGGGAAGGAAAGGGAGAAGGAAGCATGGAAGCAAAGAGAAAAGGGAGGAAAGAGGTAGAGAAGGAAGAAAGGAAAGGGGGAAGGAAGGAAGGAGAGAAGGAAAGAAAAAAGGGAAAAAAGGAAGGAAAGAGGGAGCGAAGGAAGGGGGAAGATGTAGAGAAAGAGGGAGGGAAGGAAAGAAGGCAGGAGAGAAGGAAGAAAAGGGAGACAGCAGAAAAGAAAGAAAAGGAGGGAAAGAAGGAAAGAGATAGAGAAGGAAGGAAGAAGAGAAGGAAAGGCGGGAAGGGCGGAAGGAATGAAGGAAGGAGGGAAAGAAGGAGAGAAAGAGGGAAGGTTGGCCACAGCAATGCGTGGCGGGTACAGCTAGTATATATATATATATACATATATATCGTTATTCCAGCTCAAGGGTTCATAGTCTTGCAGAGAGTATTATCAGACCCCAGTGTGTGGCAGTCTGGGTGGGGGGGACGCTTGGTGTTGAAATTAGGTCAACGGCCTGCTGTCAAGACGCCATGTCCCCGTAATCCTAATCAGCGGTGACATGGGGCCATCTGGGAATGTGGCGCCCGCCGGCAAAGGGCCTTGGGTTCAAGTCACGGCGGATCCTGAATGCCAAAACACCCCGAAAGGAATACCTGAGGCTGGGAAGAAGGAATTCCTCGTGACATCGAATAATAGAATGTTGGTGAAATGTTGGGGTCCAGTGTCACCTTGCAGCGATGCATCCGCTCTGAATTTCAGGCTGAACTTCACATGTGTCTTTGGGAGTTATTCAAACATGAATCCAGAAAACAGGGGTGTCTTCCAAAGCAAACTCGTACAGGAACAAAGACAAGAGCCAGAACAGGAAACTTGAATCATGAAGAGCAGAAACAGGAAAATCATCCTTTAGCAGCATTGTCTCCTCTGAGAAGCTTGAAGCCAAATTACTTAAGTCCGTCCGGGCACCCATGACATCATGCCGAACACACCTGGATTTCAATATCTTCTCACATATTCTGTTAGAATATCTAGTTCAACTGTTTCTTTTACTCCCTCTGTTCTCAGGCCTAATCTAGTTCCCTGAGAAAACTCCCCATCAGCCCAAGGACTTTTACTTTCCCCTATTGCCTGGGAACCAGCACCGGAATCCAAAACATCTGTCTCAGCTTCAACTGCTTGCAATTCTCTGTGATCTGAGGCCTACAATTCTCTCCGAGCAGAGACAGGAAAATAATCTTTTAGCAATGTTGTCTCCTCTGAGAGGCTTGAAGCCACACTACTTAATTTAAATCCGTCCAGGCACCCATGACATCATGCCGAACACACCTGGATTTCAAGGTCTTCTCACATATTCTGTGAGAACATCTAGTTTGACTGTTTTTTACTCCCTCCATTCTCAGGCCTAATCTACTTCCCTGGGAAAACTCCCCATCAGTCTAAGGACTTCCACTTTGCCTGGGAACCAGCACCAGAATTCAAAAATCCGCCTCAGCCTCATCTGCCTGCAATTCTTTCTGATCTGAGGCCTACAATTCTCTCCGAGTAGAGACAGGAAAATCATCCTTTAGCAATATTGTCTCCTCTGAGACGTTTGAAGCCACACTACTTAATTTAAGCCCATCCAGGCACCCATGACATCATGCCGAACACACCTGGATTTCAAGGTTTTCTCAAATATTCTGTTAGAATATCTAGTTCAACTGTTTCTTTTACTTCTCATCTGTTTACATCATATTAGCCGTTCCATGTTCGTATTATAATTTTGTGTTTATCTGGTCATGCTGAAGTTCCAAACAGGTTTTCACTCTTTTCTGAAAGGTCGGGAGGGAGGGGGCCAATCTAATATCCCTGGGAAAGGAGGTCCACAACTTAGGGGCCACCACTGAGAAGGCCCTGTCTCTCGTCCCCCGCCAGATGAGCCTGTGAGACGAGAGAAGGGCCTAATATCCCTGGGAAAGGAGGTCCACAACCGAGGGCCACCACTGAGAAGGCCCTGTCTCTCGTCCCCACCAGACGCACCTGTGAGGTGAGAGAAGGGACTAATATCCCTGGGAAAGGAGGTCCACAACCGAGGGGCCACCACTGAGAAGGCCCTGTCTCTCGTCCCCCGCCAGACGTGCCTGTGAGGTGAGAGAAGGGCCTAATATCCCTGGGAAAGGAGGTCCACAACCGAGGGGCCACCACTGAGAAGGCCCTGTCTCTCATCCCCCGTCAGACGCGCCTGTGAGGAAGGCGGGATCGAGAGCAGGGCCACTGATTGCTCTGAGCCCAATCATGCCCGTGGTCACCCAATGTCTCCCCTTTTACTGACCGTTCCCCCCTCTCTCTGTCCATCCCTCTGCAGGTGCAACACGCAGGACTACATCTGGCACAAGGGCATGCGCTGCGAGTCCATCATCACAGACTTCCAGGTGATGTGTGTGGCGGTGGGCTCGGCCGCCCTGGTGGTCCTGCTCCTCTTCATGATGACCGTCTTCTTCGCCAAGAAGCTCTACCTGCTCAAAACGGAGAACAGCAAGCTGCGCAAGACCAAGTGAGTGGCGCCAATCGGGGCAGGTGGGGCATGAGTATAGGCAGCAAGCATGGGCCAACTTGGGCCCTCCCTCTAGGTGGTTTGGATTCCAACTCCCACAATTCCTAACAGGAATTGTGGGAACTGTGGGAGTTGGAGTCCAAAACACCTGGAGGGAGGGCCCAAATTGGCCCATGCCTGCTGTGGCATGAATGTTGGACTACGACATATCACACTCTCTTTGGACATATCACACTCTCTCAGCCCCAGCTTCCTAAGCCGCTCCTCATAGAGACCCGTGCTTTCCAGACCCTTGATCGTTGGAACTTCCCTTCTCTGGACACCTTCCCTCTTGTCCATCTCAGTCTTGAATTTTGGTGACCAGGACTGGACGCAGGGTTCTTATTCCAAGGGAGGTCTGACCAAATCAGAAAGAGTGAGTGAGACTATGATTTTCCCCATCTATACATTATACAGAGTCCCCGGTGGCACAGCAGATTAAACCGCTGAGCTGCTGAACTTGCTGACCAAAATGTTGGCGGTTCATATCCGGGGAGCGGGGTGAGCTTCTGCTGTTAGCCCCAGCTTCTGCCAACCTGGCAGTTCAAAAACATGCAAATGTGAGTAGATCAATAGCTACCTCACCGGCAGGAAGGTGCTGCTTCTGTGGGAAGGTAATGGCACTCCATGCAGTCATGCTGGCCACATGACCTTGGAGGTGTCTATGGACAACGCCGGCTCATCAGCTTGGAAATGGAGGTGAGCACAAACCCCCAGAGTCAGACACAGGGGAAAACCTTTACCTTTACCTATGAGTGCTCTAGCAGATCATTCTAAGTGCTATATGTTGCCCCGTGGCACAGCGGGTGAAACCGCTGAGCTGCTGAACTTGCTGACCGAAAGGTCACAAGTTCAAATCTGGGCAGTGGGGTGAGCTCCTGCTGTCAGCCCCAGCTCCTGCCAACCTAGCAGTTCAAAAACATGCAAGTGTGAGTAGATCAATAGGTACCACTTCTGCAGAAAGGTAACGGCGCTCCATGCAGTCATGCTGGCCACATGACCTTGGAGGTGTCTAAGGACAATGCTGGCTCTTTGGCTTAGAAATGGAGATGAGCACCAGAGTTGGACTCAACTCGACTTAATGTCAGGGGAAAACGTTTACCACCTACCTACACACACACACACACACACAAACACATATGGACTTAATGTCAGGGGAAAACCTTTACATTTACCTATGTGTGTATATATATAGTAAAGGTAAAGGTTTTCCCCTATGTATACATGTGTTTGTGTATATGTGTGTGTATTTGTGTATGTATGTATGTATGCAGTAAAGGTAAAGGTTTCCCCTGACATAAAGTCCAGTTGTGTCGGAGTCTGGGAGTTGGTGCTCATCTCCATTTCTAAGCCAAAGAGCCAGCATTGTCCATAGACACCTCCAAAGTCATGTGGCCAGCAAGACTGCATGGAGTGCCCTTACCTTCCTGCTGGAGCAGTACCTATTGATCTACTCACATTTGCATGTTTTTGAACTGCTAGGTTGGCAGAAGCTGGGGCTAACACCAGGAGCTTGAATAGCATTGAGTAGCCTTGCAGCTGGAGCGGGGAGCAGGGTGAGTTCCCACTATCAGCCCCAGCTTCTGTCAACCTAGCACTTTGAAAACATGCAAATATGAGTAGATCAATAGGTGCCGCTCCTGCAGGAAGGTAACAGCGCTCCATGCAGTCATGCCAATGGCCACATGACCTTGGAGGTGTCTACGGACAATGCCGGCTCTTCAGTTTAGAAATGGAGATGAGCACCAACCCCGCCAAAGAGCCGGCATTGTCCATAGACAAAGTCATGTGGTCGGCATGACTGCATGGAGTGCCCTTACCTTCCTGCTGGAGCAGTACCTATTAATCTACTCACATTTGCATGTTTTTGAACTGCTAGGTTGACAGAAGCTGGGGCTAACACCAGGAGCTTGAATAGCTTTGAGTAGTCTTGCAGCTGCAAAGTCCATCAGTGAGGGTATTTGCATAGAGCCCCCCCCCCCGGTGGTGCAGCAGATTAAACCGCTGAGCTGCTGAACTTGCTAACTGAAAGATAGGCGGTTTGAATCCGGGGAGCAGGGTGAGCTCCTGCTGTCAGCCCCAGCTTCTGTCAACCTAGCAGTTTGAAAACATGCAAATGTGAGTAGATCAATAGGTACCGCTCCTGCGGGAAAGTAACAGCGCTTGCAAACTTGCTGACCAAAATATAGGCGGTTTGAATCCGAGGAGCGTCGTGAGCTCCTGCTGTTAGGTCCAGCTTCTGCCAATCTAACAGTTTGAAAACATGCAAGTGTGAGTAGATCAATCAGTGAGGGTATTTGCATAGAGGGAGCCACCCCCGGTGGTGCAGCAGGTTAAATCACTGAGCTGCTGAACTTGCTGACCGAAAGATAGGCGGTTTGAATCCGGGGAGTGTGGTGAGTTCTTGCTGTTAGGCCCAGCTTCTGTCAACCTAGCAGTTTGAAAACATGCAAATGTGAGTAGATCAATAGGTACCGCTCCGGTGGGAAGGTAACGGCACTCCATGCAGTCGTGACCTTGGAGGTGTCTACGGACAACGCCGGCTCTTCGGCTTAGAAATGGGGATTCTCCATCCAATGGATACAGTCACGCCCAGTAATTAGAGACTCCCTCGTCCCCGTGGCATCACCTATCCCAGGTATGGGCCAGCTTGGGCCCTTCCTCCAGGTGTTTTGGACTTCTTTCAGTACGTGGACAACATCCTTTGGTATGTAGACAACATACCCATCGGACAGGCACAGACACCTCCAAGGTATTTATTTATTTATCGTGTCATCAGCAACCAGACCATTGTATTGCATTTCTAACAGAAAAAAACAAACACACAGATTAAAAAAAACAAAACACAGATTTTGCAAACTTGGTAGTTGATTAAATGTCCTTTGACCAGTATCTGGCCACTTGGAGTGCCTCTGGTGTTGCCGCAAGAAGGTCCTCCATTGTGCATGTGGCAGGGCTCAGGTGCATTGCAGCAGGTGGTCAGTGGTTTGCTCTTCTCCACACTCGCATGCCGAGGATTCCACCCTGTAGCCCCATTTCTTGAGGTTGGCTCTGCATCTCGTGGTGCCAGAGCGCAGTCTGTTCAGCGCCTTCCAAGTCGCCCAGTCTTCTGTGTGCCCAGGGGGGAGTCTCTCATCTGGTATCACCCAGGATTGAGGTGCTGGGTTTGGCCTGCCACTTTTGGACTCTCGCTTGCTGAGGTGTTCCAGCGAGTGTCTCTGTAGATCTTAGAAAACTATGTCTTGATTTAAGTCGTTGACGTGCTGGCTGATACCCAAACAGGGGATGAGCTGGAGATGTCTCTGCCTTGGTCCTTTCACTATTGGCTGCCACTTCCCGGATGTCAGGTGGTGCAATACCGGCTAAGCAGTGTAATTTCTCCAGTGGTGTAGGGCGCAGACACCCTGTGATAATGCGGCATGTCTCATTAAGAGCCACATCCACTGTTTTAGTGTGGTGAGATGTGTTCCACACTGGGCATGCGTACTCAGCAGCAGAGTAGCATAGCGCAAGGGCAGATGTCTTCACTGTGTCTGGTTGTGATCCCCAGGTTGTGCCAGTCAGCTTTCGTATGATATTGTTTCTAGCACCCACTTTTTGCTTGATATTCAGGCAGTGCTTCTTGTAGGTCAGAGCACGGTCCAGAGTGACTCCCAGGTATTTGGGTGTGCTGCAATGCTCCAGAGGGATTCCTTCCCAGGTAATCCTCAGAGCTCGGGATGCTTGTCTGTTCTAAGTGAAAGGTGCATGTCTGTGTTTTAGATGGATTAGGGATCAGTTGGTTTTCCCTGTAAAAGGCAGTAAGAGCACCTAGAGCTTCGGAGAGCTTCTGTTCAACCATCTCAAAGCTCCCTGCTTGAGCAGTGATGGCACGATCATCAGCATAGATGAAACTCTCTGTCCCTTCTGGCAGTGGCTGGTCATTTGTGTAGATGTTGAACATGGATGTAGCAAGCACGCTCCCCTGAGGCAGGCCGTTCTTCTGTTTCCGCCATCTGCTTCTCTGGCCCTGGAACTCAACAAAAAAGCTCCTGTTTTGTAGCAGGTTTCCTATGAGGCGGGTGAGGTGGTCGTCCTTTGTGATATTAGACATTTTTCTCAGGAGGAGCAGCGGTGGTTCACAGTCTCATAGGCTGCTGACAGGTCTATGAAGACAGCTCCTGTGATCTCCTGCCTTTCAAAGCCATCTTCTATGTGCTGAGTCAGGTTCAGCACTTGCGATGTGCAGCTTTTGCCTTTCCTGAAACCTCCAAGGTCATGTGGCCACTCTCTGGAACCTTGAGCATGAAAAGACAGTTGTGTCACATTGATGGACACCCCTTAACAAAGAGGACGCCATCTCTCCATTTTTCCCAGGCAAGCGGGCACCCTGGCTGTGTTGGGGAAAGGCCCTTCTGGCTCCGACATGTGATTTACGCGCTCCCCTTGGAGCCGGGAGACCTGCCAAGCGCTTGTGTTGTGTGTCTGTGCCGCACGCACGAGATGCAATGGCTGGCCCTCCCGATAATTTGCTGCTCTCCGGGGGCCGTAAATTTCCAGGGTGCCGACAGCGCGACAGGAAGGAAAGGTGAAACCGAGTGGCAGATGGAGGAGGAGGCGAGGAGGAGGCGGAAATGGCACCGGCACCCGTCTAGACGTCCCAAAGGAGCATCCAAGGGCGCAGAACACACACACATGTGTGTGTATATGTGTCTGCAGGCTCCTGGATGAGCGCAGCATGGAGAAGTTACCTTTTCCTTTAGAGTCCCTCCACAATTTGGAGCCCAAGGTGTTTCCACATCTCTCCAGTTAGCACAGAGAGTTTGTCCAACATGTGAGCAAACTTTGTCCCTCCAGGTGTTTTGGACTCCAACTCCCACAATTCCTAACAGCCAGTAGGCTGTTAGGAATTGTGGGAGTTGAGTCCAAAACACCTGGAGGGCCAAAGTTTCCCAAGGTTGTGGGAGGGGCTGCAGAGCATG